GGATGAAACTGGAGCCCATTATACAGAGTGAAGTAAGCCAGAAAGATAAAGAAAGACCAATACAGTATACTAACGCATATATATGGAATTTAGAAAAATGGTAATGATAACCCTATATGCAAAACAGAAAAAGAAACACAGATGTACAGAACAGACTTTTGGACTCTGTGGCAGAAGGCCAGGGTGGGATGTTGTGAGAGAACAGCATCGAAACATGTATATTATCAAGGGTGAAACAGATCACCAGCCCAGGTTGGATGCATGAGACAAGTGCTTGGGTCTGGTGCACCAGGAAGACCCAGAGGGATGGGATGGGGAGGGAGGTGGGAGGGGGGATCGGGATGGGGAATACATGTAAATCCATGGCTGATTCATGTCAATGTATGGCAAAAACCACTACAATATTGTAAAGTAATTAGCCTCCAACTAACAAAAATAAATGGAAAAAGATAAAAGATAAAATTAAAAAAAAAAATGGAAATAGGCAAAGGTAACTGAGACTTTGACACAGATAATATTCTTAACAGAAATATTAAAGACAAGTGGAAGAAAACATGTAGCAGCTCAAAGCTAGTTGAAGTATCAAAGGAACTTGCTGGTGGAAATGTGGCACCAGAGTTTTGGAGAGACTGGCAGTAGAACTCTGAGTTAAGGAATCATGCTGCCATGAAGTGGAATTTTTAGCATCATGTTTCCTTTCTATATCAAAATCAAAAAGCTAAGTGGGGGATATATGTGCGCCTCAAGTTATTTAAACATAGATTGATGCAAAGTGCTTTAGTACAATAATTAACTTTTATATTCATCCAGCTCTTGGAAAAGGAATCCAGAAAGCAACACTCCTTATTTCTCCTGAGTATTCTTTTAAGATATATAAAATACTCTAAGAACATTCTAACATCTTAATGCATCCTCTTAGTTAAATTTTAAGTTAATCTGATTAAAAATATATTCATACTGAACCAATTACTTGCATTTTTTCCAAACTGTGATAAAGCTTTTTATTTTTAAGATCTACGAGCTTTTTATTTTTAAACAAGAACACATGGAAGCTCTCAAGGAGGAAATGCATAGGTGCATAGTCACACATTAGGTCATATAAAATGGTGTTTCTGTGAAGAACTGTTCTTAGGATGTATCTCTTCTCTTTCCCCCATTCCTCCAAATTAAAAATACAGTTGACTCTTGAAACAAGATTGGTGTTAGCAGCACCAACCCCCTCCACCCCAATTTGAAAATCTACATATAACTTTACACTCCGTCCTCTGTATCTGCAGTTCAGTACATGCAGCATGTATTTACTGAAAGAAAAAAAAAATCCACTTATAAGTGGACACTTGCAGTTCAAACCTAGTTTGTTAGAGGGGTAAATGTACCTGCACATTTTGTAAGGCTCTGCTTAGACTGTTACAATGACTGATAGAGGAACTCACTTTTAAAACCTCTCAAATGCTGAAATTTGGATAACCAGGAAAACTACTTCACATGATGCTGGCCAAGCACGTCATGCAAAATTCTGGGCTAGATGAATCACAAGCTGGAATCAAGATTTCGAGGAGAAATATCAACAACCTCAGATATGCAGATGTCACCATTCTAATGGCAGAAAGTGAAAAGGAGCTAAAGAGTCCCTTGATTAGAGTGAAAGAGGAGAGTGAAAAAGCTGTCTTAAAACTCAACATTCAAAAACTAATATGGCATCCAATCCCATCACGTCAAGGCAAATAGATGGGGAAACAATGGCAGACTTTCTTTACTTGGGCTCCAAAATCACTGCAGATGATGACTGTAGCCACGAAATTAAAAGATACCTGCTCTTTGGAAAGAAAGCTATGACAAACCTAAACAGCATATTAAAGCAAAATACCACTTTGTTAACAAAGGTCCATCTAGTCAAAGCTATGGTTTTTCCACTAGCCATGTCCGGATACGAGGATTAGACCAAAAAGAATGCTAAGTGCCAAAGAACTGATGTTTTCAAACTGTGGTGATGAAGAAGACTCTTGAGAGCCCCTTGGACTCCAAGGAGATCAAACCAGTCAATCCTAAAGGAAATCAACCCTGAATATTCACTGGAAGAACTGATGCTGAAGCTCCAATACTTTGGCTACCTGATGCAAAGAGCTGACTCGTTGGAAAAGACCCTGATGCTGGGAAAGACTGAAGGCAAAAGAAGAGGGTGGCAGAGGATGAGATGGTTAGATAGCATCACCGACTCAATGAACATGAATCTGAAAAACTCCAGGAGAGACTGAAGGGCAGGGAAGCCTGGTGTGCTGCAGTCCATGGGGTTGCAAAGAGTTGGACATGACTTAGTGACTGAGAAGCAACTATAATCCCTCTAATCTTCTTCCACAGTTTTATTCAACTTTTATTTTTAACTATATATTCTATGCCTTCCTTAAAAATTTTTAAATGTAGAAATAATAAAGTCCATTGAGAAAAATACAAGAAAAGCTGAAGAAACATACTAAGAACTACCCACAAACCTACCATCAGCAGAAAAACAGGTACCATTTGGTAACACATCTATTGAATTAATATTTACATTCCATGTATATAAGACAAATATGTATATACTTAAGATTCTGATTTCTTTTCCTTCTGTTTTTATTTTTGTACATTTGCTTAGTTTTAACCTTTATGCTGTTTCTATCTTTTGGCTACTATTCTGTGCTTACCTTCTTTGGCTACACTTCAAAGAGTTTATCTTACATTTTTGTATATCTTACTTTAGTAATATAATAGTTTTCTTCTCTAAAATTTCTGAATTTCTGGTTTAGTTCTTGACTTTCATTATTTTGGCTCATCTATTACTCTCCCTAAGTTAATAAAACTTTTCTCTTATTGGTTACTTTCTATGTTTCACAGTACCATCTTTTACCTGTGTTTTCATTTATGTGACCTTCTAGAAAATGTTAAACTAAAAGGGCAGAATACAGATTAATGGCTGCCAGCGCTGAGGGATCAGGAGAAGGAACTGACTAAAAAGGAGAATACAAAATACTTTTTCAGGTGATAGAAATATTGTATGTCTTCATGTAGACTATACCACAGAGGGTAAATTTTGCTATTTGTAAATTACATCGCAGCATCAATCATATATACAAACACACTGATGCACGAAGTAGAAGTGATATGACTTAATGGTGAATTATGATGAGCAGGGGATGAGGCCAATGCTAACTTTCAGGTTTCTGGAGACATGAAACAGTATCTTCGTCACTGTGTAATGAAGGGACTTCTTGGCTATGCAGGAAAGCTGGCAGAGGTATCTGTCCACATTTTATGCTATGTTAAAATGAATCATTTTAAAGGTAGAATGAACTGTGGAAAGTAGACTGAGGAAGGAAAACATACAAAAGGTTGAAGCAGGGCAGCCACACTCATGGTCAGGGTCCTGCAGGAGAAGACCCCAACCACACCAGCAGACAGGCTCTAGCCCCAGCCTCAGGTGGGCCATTCTGTAGGTGAACATCCTATAGGTGCTAATGTAAGCACAATTCTTCAGAGGCTCCTCCTCCAAAATTTGCCAAAGATATACAATCCCACTGTGTACAGCCCATCTTTTATTAATAGTTCAGGGTAAAGAACTGGCCTTTCCAAGTGACCTTGAACTTCAGTTTGGTGCACTATCCTTTTGTCCCTTTTCTTATAACCATCGAGGGCTCTGCTCCTTGCTCCAAAAAGGGGATCACATCTGGTCAGAGATGGATATACTAGTGAGAAGAGGTATCATCAACACTACATCTCTGCTTTATGGTCTCTCTTTGCAAGGTCCAGACATTCTCACTAATCTTGAGAAAAATCTACAACCACATCCCTTAACTTCATTAACCCAGGGTCAATCTTCCTTAGGGTTCCTTCTCTAGGAAAAACAGAGTCCAGAGAAGCACAACTCTACTTTGACTTTTAGGTAAGAAACAATTCTAACTTAATCCACAAGATACGTCTTTTTGGGAGAAGGTGGGAAACGCACGCAGCCCAACAACCCCACGAACACAGTAAGTGGCCCCTGAACCATCACACTGTCTTTAACATAACTTTTACAAAATTCCCTGTTCTATCTACAATAAAACATTGAAAAGGGAGAATTCCTTGTTCTACTAATAAAAGGCCAAACAATGGGATGTAGATGGCAAGTCCACAACAATAATCTTTGTAGAGAAGAGACTCACACGAATCAAACACAGAGGTCTTTTTCCATTTTGCACCTGCCTGAAAACTTCCCTTAACAGAGGAATGTAAATTTTCAAAAAACAGCTAAATCCATGTAACTAAACAGAACCACAGTCTAAAATAAAATGTTCTCCTTAGATAGCAATGGTTCTATTTCAAAAGATCAGTACTATATGGTAGCCACTAGTCACACATGGTGCTTGAAATGTGCCTTATATGAACTGAGACATGCTGTATGTTAATATTCTATACCTTTTGAAGACTTAGTTTGAAAAAATAAAGTATCACATTCATAATTCTTAAAAACTGATTACATGTTGAAATAATAATATCCAAATATACTATGCTAAAAATATGTATTATTCAATTTTACTTGTTTCCTTTTAATTTTAAACTGTGGCTAATACAAAATTTAACAGTCTTTACAATACAAAGGCAACTCTAATTTTCTTCATGACTTTACTTATGGAAGACTTAAATAATCAACTATCATAAAAATCAGTCTTTTTATAAGTTCAGTTGTCTCAAGAACCATTTTCTAATGAAAGCAAATATATATTATATAGATTCACCTGGGTAGAAGAAATTAAGAACACTATATTCACATACTGTTGGACCATATTTACTCAGTCTCAAAAGACAGATCACCTCTTTCATTAGGCCTGTAAATCTGAAATGTAAATAAAGCACATTTTCTCAAAGGCTTTATGTCCGAATTTCATAATCTAATTAAAAGATATATGAATACCTAAGGCATAAGCACATGGTATTTGGCAGAATAAAAAAACATAAGCATAGCATACAAACTCCTAAAATATTACCTGATAGATATCAGATAAACTGCTGCTTCCAGAGTCACTGGCGATGCTACAACCAGACTGACTAGAAGACACATGAGTCACCTGTGGATGAGGGTTGTCTGCAATGTGCATCTTGGTAAGATCAGCTGGAAGCTGAAGAAGAGGAAAAATAGTTTAAGATAATCTAAATATCAAACATCAGCATTAGAGAGTTCTTGACACACTGTGTAACTTCTGCAACAAAATTATATGTACATTTCTTTGCAACCTCATTTCTGATCTAAATTCTCCATTTTTACAAAAATCTCAAAAAATGGTAAGAACCAAATTAGTCTTCCATTAAGCAAGCCTCCAATGGAAGCTCACTGATCAGTTTTCAAAAGACATTACCATAAATAAGGGTATCTCAGAGGGAAAAACTGGCCTTTTCTTTTCCTCAAAAATAATTGGCTGTTGCTACTTAAACTATAGGAATACTATCCCCTCCCCACCCATAAACACACACACCCCTCACTAATACAAAATGGTTGGAATACTGGAATAAAGTAGCAGTACCTTGGATTAAAGTACAGCATCTAGTATCAAGACTTCAGAAAAGCAAGCGTTCAATATTCCAAAATTTTAGTAAGACTTTTTTTCATTGAATATTTTATTAGCTTATAGTTGGCCCCTAAAAAAATTTGCTAGTAATCATAATGATGTAATGAATGTCTGTGCTAGGTATATGGCTACAAAGACACAGAAGTCAATGCTTCCTCCATCTCATCTTTCATATGATTATGCTTTTATCAGGGATGAAAGTTGTACAATATAATTCACACCATAAAACTTTAAAAATTTTTACAAAATAAATGCTATAGGAGTTGAGACAAGATACAAAAGCACTGTGCTCCAAAGCAGTGAGAGTTTTACATTACGATTTGATGACATATTTCCCAAGTAATGTCTCTGTAACTTGCTATTCAGGGCCACTGACAGAAATTTACATTTTAGAGCAGGGTTTCTCACTGCATAATAATACAGAAATGTTAAAGAAACACGTGAATGATAGTGGAAGCTAAATATACTCTAAAGAAGAAAATGTCCAAACCTGGACATTATATTATTTTGAGATAATATAGTATTATCTCAAGATTATATTATCTCAAGAGAAGCTATGGTCAAATACTAAAAATAACACACAAAAAAACTACATCACTAACGTCCCCTGCTGGGACAGGTAATACAGATGAACCCGGTAATGCTTTGGATTTGGACCAAAATCCAGCAGTATTTGTTACTGTTGTTTAGTCGCTAAGTCGTGTTTAACTCTTTTGTGATCCCATGGACTGTAGCTGGCCAGGATTCACTGTCCATGGGACTTCCCAGAGTATTGGGGTGGGTTGTCATTTCCTTCTCCAGGAGGGTCTTCCAGAACCAGGGATCAAATCTGAGTCTCCTGCACTGACAGGCAGATTCTCTACCACTGCATCACTCGGAAAGTATATAATACCCTATTTGGAATCAAGACTGCTAGGAGAAATATCATCAATCTCAGATATGCAGATGACATGACCCTTATGGCAGAAAGTGAAGAGGAATTAAAGAGCCTCCTGATGAGGGTCAAAGAGGAGACTGAAAAAGTTGGCTTAAAATTAAACATTCAAAAAACTAATATCATGGCATCTGGTTCCATCACTTCATGGCAAATGGATGGGAAAAAAAATGGGAACAGTAATATTTTTTTATTGGGCTTTATTTTCTTGGGCTCCCTGCTATTCATGACTACAATCACAAAATTAAAAGACATTTGTTTGCTCCCTGGAAGAAAAGCTATGACAAACCTAGACAGCATATTAAAAAGTAGACATCTCTTTGCTGACAAAGGTCCATATACTCAAAAACTATGGTTTTCCCAGTAGTCATGTATGAATATGAGAGTTGGACCATAAAGAAGGCTACATGCCAAAGAAGCGATGCTTTCAAACTCTAGTGCTGGAGGAGATTCTTTAGAGTCTCTTGAACTGCAAGGAGATCAAACCAGTCAATCTCAAAGGAAATCAACCCTGAATATTCATTAGAAGGACTGATGCTGAAACTGAAGCTCCAATCCTTTGGCCACCGACTTACTGGAAAAGACCCCAATGCTGGGAAAGATTGAGGGCAAGAGCAAGTTACAGGAGCTAGTGAAGGATAGGGAAGGCTGGTGTGCTTTAGTCCACGGTGTTGCAAAGAGTTGGACATGACTGAGTGACTGTACAACAACAACAAAATAAGTGTGATCCTAAAGTAAACTGATGGTCAATTTAAAAACATCTCAATCCCTGATTTTGGATTAAAGTTACATAGGATTAATAGTGCTTCCAGTCAGCTACTGAAAGCAAACACAAAACTTCACCGTAGGAAAAAAATCATCCTGGGCATCAAGATAACAGGACAGCCTGGTGGCTCAGCTCCTCCAATGCAGGAGGTACTGGTTTCATCCCTGGTTTGGGAGATCCCCTAGAGAAGGAGAAGGCAACCCACTCCAGTATTGTCTAGAAAATGCTATGGACAGAGGAGCCTGGTGGGTTACAGACCATGGAGTTGCACAAGAGTAGGACACAACAACTAAACAACAGGCCTCAGATTACTTAAAAAAAAATTTATGCAACAATATCCATTGCTCAAATAAAACCAGGCACATTAGGAAACAAGAAGGCATTCATGCAAACTAAGAGAAGTAATAAAACCTAGAAACCTGTAACGAGAAAGCTTTCAAATAATGGAGTTATCAGATACAAATTCTAAGGCAACTGTATTTAATAACATATACCAGGGGTAGATGGTAAAAGCATCTGCTTGCAATGTGGGAGAACCGGGTTTGATCCCTGGGTCAGGAAGATGCCCTGGAGATGGAAATAGCAAACCCAGGCAGTTTTCCAGTACTCTTGCCTGGAAAATTCCATGGATGGAGGAGCCTCATAGGCTACTGTCCATGGGGGTTGCAAAGAGTGGGACATGACTGAGCGACTTCACTTTCACCTTCACCAGGGATTGGCAAACATTGTCTTTAGAGGACTTAAGAGTATACATTTTAGGTTTCTGTAGGCCACATAACATCTCTGCGGCATTATTTCTGACTTTTTTTTTAAAAGAACAACTCAGAAAAATAAAATTCCAATTTACTGTTGGATGACATCATTTCATACACACATCAAACAGGCCAAAAAAATAGAAAGCAACTTCAGAGACAAAAAAAAAAAGAACCCGTTTATCTTTGGCCTTTCTAGCCATCTCAGACAAACCAACTACTTGTACAGCTAAGTACATACACAAAATGCTCAGAATAAGACTGTTTTGTTGTTGCTGTTTTTGGTTTTTTCACAAGATTTTTTTCTCCTCTGAGATCATAATGAACATGATCGCACCACAAGTGAAGTCAGAGGTAGGACAGAGACTGCTCCTAAGGCTGGTTTGGTCATCTGGGGTCATTAAAAGTGACTCACTCCTAACAACATGTACAAAAATATAAAATGTAAATAAAAACACAAATTTTCCTTTAAAAAGTACTTTAAGAAGAAAAGAGGGCCTTGGAAATTTTGGTTCTTTTTTTCCTTCCCTGCTACAAATTCATGTTACGGTTTTGGCTGGATGGTAGAGAATGTGTGTCATCTTCAGGAGGTGCTGCCGTGGTGGGTGGGCAGGCCTGCAGGAGCTACTGGAAGATGACCATGTTTAGACTGAGACGGGAAGTGGAGGGTGAACAGGTAGGTCATGGTGGCCTTTTTGTTTCTTTAAACTTTTTTTTTTTTTTAATGTGGACCATTTTAAACTTTTTTAAATTGAATTTGTTACAATGTTGCTTCTGTTGTTTATGTTTCAGGTTTCTGCCCTGTGGCATGTGGGATCTTAGCCCCCCAACCAGGGATTGAACCCATACCCCCTGCATTGGAATGGGGAGTCTTAACCACTGGACCAGGAGGGAAGTCCCATGGGTAAGTTTAACTTTTCCCTTTCCTTTTTTTTTTGTGCTGTACAGTCATCCTCATCAGTCTTCTTGGTGTCAACACCATCCTCCTCATCATCTTCAGCTGCCCCTTTGACCGTAGCTGCTTCAGCCTCCTCACCTTATCTCCTTCCTCTTCCTCACCGTCACCTTGCTCCTCCTGCTCTCCCCTCCACACCTTCTTCCTCTTTTTCAATTACCTCTTTGTCAGCCTCCTGCTCCCCACTTTTCTCATTAGCAGGTGCCTCTCCCCCATTCTCTGCCTCCTCCACAGCTCCCCTCTTCTGAGTCCCTGGTGTTAACGCTGAAGCTGCAGTCCACAGCCACAGCTGACATGATGGGACAGGCTAGTGATCCTATGCAGTGGTTTAAGAGGAAAGAAAGCAAGAGTCCGAGGAGGCTTTCCAGAAAGCTGCTGGAGGCCAAGGCAGAGGTGGCTAAAGCACATGGGAAATCATACAAGGGAACACAATGCAAAGATGGCTTTTCAAAGAAGCCAGTGGGGCAACATATTTTTTTTAAGCAATCTTTTTTTTTTTAAACTTGGCTGTGCCATGCAACATGTAGGATCTTAGTTCCCTGACCAGGAATTGAATTTGTGACCCCTGAATTGGAAGAGAGGAGTCTTACTCACTGGACCACCAGGGAAGTTTCATAAACAACCTTTTAAAAATGTAAAAATTGGGCTTCCCTGATGGTCAGTGTTCGGGAGTCTGCCTGCTCGTGCAGCACACATAGGGTCAATCCCTGGTCCGGGAAGATCCCACATGCTGAGAGGCAGTTAAGCCTATGTGCCACAACTACTGAGCCCATGCACAGGAACTACTGGGCCTGTGTGCCTAGAACCCATGCTCTGCAATCTGAGAAGCCACTGCAATGAGAAGCCACTGCACTGCAACGAAGAGCAGACCCCATTCAGAGCAACTACAGAAATCCCATACACAGCAACAAAGAACTAGCAGAACCACTGATTAATTAATTAATTAATTAAGATAGATGGCCACTGTCCTTTAAAAACATAAAACTAAATAAAAATGTAAAAGTCATTCTTAGCTCAAAAGTAATTAACAGCTAACTGGCAATATCTGGCCCAGTTTAGCAATCGGGACATATATAAAGAAACATAGGTCTAAGAACTTTAGCGAAGAAAGAAAAACTAACAAAGAATGAAATGAAAGTTCTAGAA